AAATTAACTCAAAATTGATTATAGCCCAGTGTGGTAGCATGTGCTATAGTCCCAGCTACCTGGGAGGCTAAAGCAGGAGGAGCCTTGAGCCCAGGAGTTTGAGGCTGTAGTGCACTATGATCACACCTGTGATTAGCCACTGTAATCCAGCCTGGGCAATACAGTGAGATCCTGTTCCTTGGGGGAAAAAAAAGGATTAGGGACCTTAATCTAAAATGCAAAACTATAAAACTCCTAGAAGATAACACAGGAGAAAATCTAGATGACCTTGGGTATGGCGATGGCTTTTTAGATGTAACACCAAAGACATGATCTGGGAAAGAAAGAATTGATGAGCTGAACTTAAAATTTAAAACTTCTGCTCTGTGAATGGCACTGTCAAAAGAATGAGAAGACAAGCCACAAATTGGGAGAAAACATTTGCAAAAGAAATATCTGATAAAGGACTATTGTCTAAAATATTGCAAATACTCTTAAAATTCAATAATAAGAAAATGAACAACCTGATTAAAAAATGAGCAGAAGACCTAAACAGACACCTAATCAAAGAAGATATAAAAACAGCAAATAAGCATATGAAAAGATGCTCCACATCATATGTCATTAGGGAATTGCAAATTAAAAACAATGAGATACCACTACACAGCTATTAGAATGGCTAAAATCTAAAACACTGACAACATCAAATGCTGGCATAGATGCGGAGCAGCGGGAACTCTCATTCATTGATAGCGGGAATGCAAAATGGTACAGCCACTTTGGAAGACAGTTTGGCAGTTTCTTACAAAACTAAACATACTCTTACCATATGATCCAGCCATCATGCTCCTTGGAATTTACATAAATGAAATGAAAATTTAAGTCCACACAAAAACCTGCACATGGATGTTTACAGCAGCTTTTTTCATAACTGCCAAAATTCACAAGCAACCAAGATGCCCTTCAGTAGGTGAATAGATTAAATAAACTGTGATATATCCAGACCGTGGAATATCATTCCTGCACTAAAAAGCAATGAGCTGTCAGGCCATAAAAAAGGAAACATAAATGTGTATTATTAAGTGAAGGAAGCCAATCTGAGAAGGCCACATAATATATGATTCCAACTATATGATATTCTGGAAAAGACAAAACTATGGAGACAGTAAAAAAAAGATCAGTGGTTGCCAGGTGTTAGTGGGGAGAGAGGAATGGACAGATGGAGCACAGAGGATTTGGGGGGCAGTGAAACTATTCCTCACGATACTACAATGGTAGATACATGTCATTATACATTTGTCCAAACCCACAGAATGTGTAACATCAAGAGTGAACCCTAATGTAAACTATGGACCCTGGGTGATGATGTGTCAGTGTAGGTTCATCAGTTGTAACAATGTCCCACTGTGGTGGGGGATGTTGACCATGGGAGAGGCTATGCATGCATGGGGGCAGGGGGTACATGGGAACTCTGTGTACTTTCTGCTCAATTTTGTTGAGAACCTAAAGCAGCTCTAAAAAATAGAGTCTATTAAACCAATCAACCCATCCTTCACTATTAATACTTTGCCATCACCATTCCTCTTACAGTGAAATCAAAGTAATAAACAGAGCTGCAAGGCCCTGCACCATCTGCCTCCCTCCACATCCCTTCTCTAGTTTACTTATTTCATTTCTTGTCTGCCTCCCTCCCACTAGAATGGAAGCTCTGTGTGGGCAGAGCTGTCTGTCCTTTTGTTCACTGCTGTAACTCACTGCCATATCACAGAGCCTAGCACTTGCTAGGCTCTCAGTACTATTTGTCGAATGAATAAATGAACAGCTTATTAAGAGTTCACTCATGCTTCCAGATGTTTGCCAAACTGTTTTCTTTACATGGAAAGACATTTTCCATGTGCAGGAGGGAAATCCAAGTCAGTCTCCAAAACTCAGCTCAAGGACCCCCTCTTCTAAGAAGTGTTCCCTGACCCTTGGCAGACAGAGGTAGCAATTTCTTATCTGAATTACCACGGTGCCCCATTACACTTCTGGTGGGGCCCTTATCACAGTTTGCTGCAATCTGTAGGGCCCCTTAGAAGCCCTTTTTCATCTTGTATTCCCAGTACCTTTGTACCTGGCATATAATAGCAGGCCCTCAAAAACATTTGTAAAATGAAATAATGAATGAATGACTTGGATAAAGCAATCAATATGTAGCTTAGTGTGAATTATATAGACATATGTAATATGTACATAATCTAAAGAATGTACTTAAAGATACTCCTATTGAAGTCCATTTAACATTAATACTTTTTATTGTAGCTTATTCGGAATATATGAGTTAATGACTAACAATATCCAAAGTCCAAGATAATTGCTTAGTGATCAATATAAAAGGCTGAGTTTGCTTTCATATTTCTTTTACATTATCTCAAAGGGTTTTTTTTTACCTTACCTGCTGTTTGGGTTCCCATAACCATGCTGGTTTAGCCTAGAGAGTATCATCATGGGAGCCAAAGACTGAGCAGGTTTGGTAAACAAAGCATTGATGCCAAAAACCATGGAGGGAAGAGATGACCTGGAACAGACAAAAATAGCATAGGTCTATATCACACACAAATTACATGTGTGTATATGTTTGTATGTATACATGTATGTATATATGTATATGTAAATATGTATCAAGGACCTTTTTGTCTATGAATTCTTCCTTGATCCTAAGCAGACAATAATAGAAATATTGATAGTATAGTACTATAAAATATTAGCCCCTTAGTTATTAGGGGTTATAAAACTAAAAGAAACTAACTTTTTTTTTCTTTTTTTTTTTTGAGACAGTCTTGCTCTGTTGACTACAGGCCCGAACCACCACGCCCAGCTAATTTGTCTATTTTTAGGAGAGATGAGGTATCACTCCTGTTCAGGTTGGTCTTGAACTCCCAAGCCCATGGGATCCTCCCGCCCCGGCCTCCCAGAGTGCTAGGATTACAGGCATAAGCCACCACATTGGGCCAAGAACCTAACTCTTAAATGAAGAAACTAAGATCCAAAGAGAAGGCTTAGCTAGTCTCTTAAATGCTCATTAAATGAGAGTTATTTGTGCCTTGTACTGTAGTATGTGCTATAATTATTTCATTTAAACCCCACGACAATCCCACGGGAAGGACATCACCACCCTTGTTTTAGAGATGGGAAAACAGATTAACTTGTCCACATTTACACAGCTGGCAAATGATAGAACTGGGATTCATGCCTCAATTTTTCTGCCCAAATTTTATTACTTTAATATATTCATTAAATAGAATTCATTAAATAGTAAGAATCCTGCCATATAATTTTTAAAATAATTATGTCATATAAAAGAAATCAAGTACATTGACTGAATAAATTGAAGTCTTATCATATTTCAACTAATGATGGAAATCTTGCCACTAAGGAGGTGAAAAAAAAAGAAGACAAAAGGGAGGAGAAGAAAGAAAAAGAAAGAGGGGGGAAAGAAAAAAAGAAAGGGAAGACAAGGTCAAGGAATTAGAGGACTGGGCTCAAGCGATCCTCCTGCCTCAGCCTCCCAAGTAGCTGGGACTGCAGATGTGTATC